TGCTCTTCCACTCTGCTTTGTATCTGCTACACTGATATTGTCAGGGCATGGGCTTGAGTTAAATATACAAAAACATACTTTCCCATAATTTCAAGAAGGGTGGAAAAATTGGTGGCGCTTGTGGATGGAGGGAAACTGCATTTTTTTGGTTTCTCAAGAAGACAATGGAGGTTTTGTTTCTGGCATTGGCCTATTGAAGTTCCACCCAGTGAATATTAAAAGTAGAATTGGATGTGACATGCCTGATGGGATTTTAATGAAAGGCTTGAGAGGGGAGTGTTGAGTTATGCGTGAGTGGTATGGGGATTTTTCTGTTACAACAAAGTACAAAATTGTATCAGATCGAAGGAGAACACCGGGTTGGTTTTTCAGGAGATTTACAGTACTGGTCAGTTTATGGAAGTTTGTTTGATTTTTTGGATAGTGGTTATTGTTATCAGTCAGCCACATATTTAGATGTTGCATACTTCTTGAAATGTTACCATGATGTACTATTTTTCTGTGATGGCTGAGGCCAGACAAGAATGCTTCCTGAAAGCAGTTTTGTGTTTTCTGGTCTCCACTGAGCTGTGCTGACATTCAGGTTTAGCAATAAAAAAGCAGGTTTGAAGAATTCTCAAAAGAAATAGCAGACGATGGGATATCCTGACTTTAAGTTCCCAGCGTTGGTCATGACCAAAAATGTGGGATCCTACTATTGACATAATTCAACTTGGAAGCATTTGTCATTACATCCTCTCTAGCTGTAAATGTCCACGTCTTTCAACTAAATTCCACCCAAGTGTGTTGGGGCATTCTGTTGGACAACGGATGCTTTTGAGCACACTGGTGGCTTTTATGGTAGAGTGGGCCCCCCCATCTACTAGGGCTGATTCTTTACCACAGTGGCCCGTGTCAGAATCTGACTGGTTGCCTTTTGCTGCATATTGTTACAGAATAACAATATGGCACCAAACCTCAAGCTGATGACATCATCAGGGTTATTTTGTCATGCTCTCTTCAGATCCATAGAAAACATCCTACATCTGCTTCTACCAGCAGAACAGCACTCATTTACAATCAAGTGTTCAATTTGTGGAGTAGCCCGTTTTAAGGTACAATCTTCTTTTAGTGCAAAATATATGCTGTGGTTTTGTTGTGAGGCCCTTAGTGACAGACAGGAAACCAAACAACTTACATAATGCAGATAAGAAAAACAGCCATTTTTGCCTACTGAGAAAGAAAACCCCAATAGTTATACGCTGTAGACCATGAACAGTCAATAAGGAAGTTTAAATGGCCCATTCATGTTGAACTGCCCTTATTTGAAGATAAAAGAGAGGATTCCAGTCTTTGATGGGATCTATCAACTCATGCAAAGAAAAGCCTGAACTCTTCTCCATTCATTAAACAAAGCTCTAAAATCAGATAATCCCTAAATACCCCATTTTCATGTCACGAGGCAAAAGTGCATTTATTATCAGAAGCAATATTAACATATAAGATCTGTCTGCAGTTTATTAAAGTTGTTTTCATTTGGAGACTTTGTATTGATAAAAATAAGTAGGCCGAGTTCCAGTTCTGATATAATTATTTTTGATTGAACTGTGCATGCTACTGACTCACTGATTCACTGGCAGGAATTGTATTCCGCTAAAGTTTCACGTGTCTTGTACATTGTTCTAATATGATGCACCCGTTAGGTCTACCTCATCGAGGCCACTGAGTCAAACTGTACTGTAATGAAGTTACTCATCTGGAAATGTAGTTTGCCTTGGCAAAGGTTATCAACGCTTTCTACTTGGAACATCATAACGCTAGAATACAGATCTGACTCATGAAGAAACACTTTGTTGTGGATGTAAATGGCAGAACTGTCACTCTTATACATAAGGCACACACATAATGATGTAAAAGATCAGTAAAAAAGAATTGCTTACGGCCATCTCATCCATAGCTGGAGAATGGATTCATTAGGAAACACTGCAGTGAGGAAAGGAAAGTGCTTAGTTGCTCTAAACCTAAAAGAAAAGTGAATATTAAATCAGCAGGGTGTTTTTCAACATTCATCTCTCATTGCACTAAAGTCTTGTTCCTCCATTATTTTTGTTGGATGTGTCCATGTGTCTCTGACGTCCTCCTCTTGTTACTACGCTATGCCTGTTTGCCTATTCTACAGTGTGATTGGCTATTCTTAGAGAGCAGCCATGCGAGCCGCCAGATGGCCCAGGGCTGGCATTGTCACTGTGCCAAGAGGCAGTTTGGCAGCAGACCTGGAGTATGTCATTAGAGCTAATCTGCATTCTGTCATTCAAGAGGCTACTGATGCAATCTTGGCTCAATTTAATGAAGTTCAGTGCATGCTTGGCCAAAATGACACTATGTAAACATTTGAAAACACATCTCCAGGGCTGAAGATAACTCGATCCAAATACCCCAGGATTATTATATCATTTCAGAGTCGTTGTATTTCTGTCTCGGGTTCCTTGAGGACAGCGATGCAGCGCTAAGGCAGCTTTAGCTATTCGTAATGAGGTACTTGCAGGAGATTCATGTTACAGCATGGATTGAATCATACTGCTGCATATTCCTACTAGCATGAAGGGACATTTTCTCATGTTGGTTGTCCACAAACTAAATCTTGTTCATTTACCGATGGTTGATACTAGACTGTTGAAGGTGAAGAAATCTGTATTGAGTTTATAGATATTCTCAACCGACTCATAAATACTCCCTTGACTGTAGACTTATAAGATGTGTAATCGTGTTGAGAGGGACATTGCATTGGAACTGCATGCGTGATGTACAGTAAGTGTGCAATGTGCAAAGAAGGTTCAAAGCCTATGATCATACAGTGCGATCATTAACTTAATTAACTAATTCAGAGGTGGTTTTACTAAATCTTTCAACCCCCCTCAGTGGGTATGTGTTTCCTCTGAGACAGGTCCCAGTTGTGCCCTTAAATTAAAAGCACCCACAGTACAAGAGCTGCTCAAAGTGGTTATTAGCAACACTTTTCCCAGGACAAAGTCACAGAAAGTCTGTAGTACAGAGTTGCAGTAAAAGCAAGAAAAGTGTTACTTGCAAGATTACATGCCTCTCACAACATCCCACTGTCTGCTTTATCTCCATCTCACACTTTCAGTCTTATCTCAGGTCCCAGGAAGGCAAAACTCTGAGCAGGAAGGTTAGATATCAGAAATGTTTCACTGTTATTTGAGCTGCATTTGTACAGTACTTTCAGACCGATGTTGCAAATAACATGCTGCAGGCAGGCTACTGCTGTGTCCCATCTGATCAAATAGATATAAAAAGACAAAGACTTGGGTGTAATTCTGCAAAAAGTGTACAGATGTTTTTGCCTTGAACTCTTGTTTTGAGAATAAAAATCAACCTAAACAAATATAGTGTAGTGTACCTAGGATGGCTGTCTCCTCTCAGCTTCAAGTATATCTGTGGTTTGTGTTGTCTGTGACTGCAAAACCTCACACAGACAATACCACAGGTTTCTGTCACAAAACAGGAAATGTTGTCTCCTCCTACATTAAGAAGAGTGTGAGTCTTTGCCGTTGCAAGCACATTCTAGCACATTCTAGCACATTTGGCAGAGTCGAGCAGCAGGGCCTTGGCACAGAGCCTCCGTCTTCCACATAACAATTGATCCTCCTTAAAGCGATTAGGTAAGCCGTGATTTGTAGTTGGCAGCGTTTTTTTCCGAACAAGGTCTTTTTATTTGTCTTCCTTTTTCCTTTAGGTGAAGGGTTGAACTTCACCTGTAGTTTACAGATGTTCTGATTCACTTTGATTACCACTTCTACGTCATCTATTATTGTGGGATATGCTGCAAACATGAGGTAGATGCTAATAAAAGCAGATGTTGTGTGTCTGTTCCCATAATGATTTACTACTAGGTTTTACATTTGAGTATAAGGATGACTGGGAAACAGTTATGGGAAAGTTTGAATTATTTTATATGTTCTCACGCCTAGACTACTGCAACTCCCTCCTGGCTGGTCTACCTGCATGTGCCATCCGACCTCTGCAGCTCACCCAGAATGCAGCGGCTCGTCTGGTCTTCAACCTTCCTAAATTTTCCCACACCACTCCGCTCCTCCGCTCCCTTCACTGGCTTCCGGTAACTGCTAGAATCCACTTCAAGACACTGGTACTTGCTTACCATGCTGCGAATGGATCTGGCCCTTCGTACATCCAGGACATGGTTAAACCGTACACCCCAGCGCGTGCACTACGCTCTGCATCAGCCAAACGACTCGCTGCACCCTCGCTGCGAGGGGGACCCAAGTTCCCATCAGCAAAAACACGTGGGGTTTGCTGTCCTGGCTCCAAGATGGTGGAATGAGCTCCCCATTGTCAACAGGACAGCAGATAGCTTACATATCTTCCGGCGCAAACTGAAAACTCATCTCTTTCGACTCCACTTCGAGCGATAGATTTATTAACAAAGCACTTATATACTAATAAAGGACTGGCTTATCTAAAGCCAGTTGAGTAGCACTTGAAATGTTTTGGCTCTATGAAACCTGATGTACTTATATGATTCTGTTTTCTTCAAGGTTGTGTCTTCCTGGTCGAATGTACTTATTGTAAGTCGCTTTGGATAAAAGCGTCAGCTAAATGCAATGTAATGTAATGTGTGCATTCATATTGCAAATGTGGGCACGTGTTTCCATGCTGAAAATAAATTGGGTTTTTGGCAAACAGAGTATATGAGAGATCATCACCTTTGAGTGTACTGCAACAAGTCGGGTTCTCATAACTGTGAATATTAAGCCGCGTGTATCTTGTTTCACACAGGAAATGAATTTCTCGGATCAGAATTATCTATGTTAATCTATGCTGCAGTTAATATCATTTCAAGTGCATTTGTGAACTGAGCAAAGTCAATGCACACATTCTTATAATCATTTTTACACTTCACTGCTTAAAACATGTGGGTTTTGCTTGTATATCCGATACCAAAACTAAGACTGTGTCTGTTTTCTATAATCTGCCTCCCTCAGGGTCAGAGGTCAGTGTGAGTCACAGCAACATGTCGGAGTCTGCAAAGCCCCACCACCCCTCCCCACAGGGTAAGGGGGAGAAGACCCATGCCAGCGACTTCAGCTACGTGGGCATTGATGCCATCCTGGAGCAGATGAGGAGGAAGGCCATGAAGCAGGGCTTCGAGCTCAACATCATGGTTGTTGGTGAGTCAGATGTTTACATTGACATATTTAGTGCCACATTCAAAAAACATCCAGTACAATTACTAGATGGGCAGGATTCTCGCTCTTTGGTTTTGAAAATAAATTCACAATGTTGAGTGTCTTCATTCCTTTACCTTTTTTTTGCCTTTTTATAGAGATTTTTTGGGTTGTGAAATTGACCTTTTCTCCAACAAATGATGGTGATATGCAGCTAATATGCCACTCACCCTCACTTAATTATGTTTAAGTTCACATTAGTAGGTATTGGACATAGCTTGTTAAAGGTAGAAATCATGTCTCGCTAATATAAATAATTCCCTCTACTTTTACTTTATGTAAACGTCACCTTACATAGAATAGAATAGTTTAATGTCATTATACATGTACAATGAGATAAATGCTTCTCCCTTTCAAGGGTGCCATCAAAACAAAAACAAAACATCACAACATAAGACAACAAAATACACGCAGCATACATACTTAGGAATAAGGGATAAAGGAATAAAGAGTAAAGTGCAGTAATTATTTCCAGGAGTACTGTATGATAATAACTACAAATCCTTGGTATGATGTAAAGATTAGAACTGAAACTGACACATCTGAGAAGACTTGGGGCTGTAATCGCTTCCAAATATTTTACAGTTTTGACTTGGTACTAAATTCAGCAAAAAGATCAGAAGGTAAACATTTTCAAGGCAGCAGCAGGAAATGCAGAACAAAGCAGAAAACAGGATGTCAAGCACAGCATGCTTAATATGCAGTTTTTCTGAAATGGAAAATACCTTTTTTATTATTTTTTAAATAACGTTTATCATGTAGCTTCTCGTCCTTGGCTGCAGTCAAACAATGAAACGTGTGCGTGGTTCTTTTTCAGCTGTTTAATAAAGAGTCAGCCAGCATGGTGCCTCCTCAACAAGCTCTTTTCTTTGTGTCAATGATGTAAACAAACACACTTGAGTTGACAAAGGGAGGCTGTCATGCTGGGAAAGTGTCACAATGACAGCAACGACTTTGACAAGCTGAAGCTAACACTTTTTAGAGAGCAGCTACACAGTGCCTGTTATTTTAGTATCCACCACCAGGTCTGTGAAAACATGTTAGCACATCTCCATAAGGACTGATGTATCAAAATGGTCAAAAGTGATTTGTCTGAATGTTCTGTCTAACTCTCTAGCACCAACATGTATGCACTTGTAGTGCTCAGATACTTTGAGGATACATTTACCTTGAGCCTCGAGATGACATACTAATAGTGTGTTGTGAAATGATACTCTCACACTGTGCCCACCAGAGTAGAAGACAATAAAGCTTTAAAATAGAAAAGAACAATGATACATTTTAACCTGCATTGAGTGATTTTTAATATACAGTCAGTAGCAACATATCAAGTTCTTCTCTGGGAAGTGTTGACAGATTGTTGCCAAACACCTCATCAGAGTTGTATTTCTTACTGTTAAGCCAGTATCGACCTGCCCTGTGCACTTGATCCATCAAATCCTGGGGGAAATGTCTCAATCCCTTCCATTTATTAGTCAGGTTTTTTTTACCATGACACTGGGTTTGCGTGGGATTTTGGAGGTGTTTGTGTGTTCATTCCTTGCACAATGCAACAGTTAATATACCATTTTTTCCTTTTTTTGATGAATATTTGTGAGGTTCCTGCTTGCGCATGTGAACAAGCTTCAAGAACAATGCCAGGAACACAGAACAGAAATATAACAGAGCCCTTTTGTGATTCTAAAAAAGTTTCTTTGGCCCAGCAGAGTTGTCTCTTAGGCAAGTCAAGTGAGGACATGAAAGGTTAGAGCAGCTGTGGTCTTGTTCGTGTCCATTGTGGTCCCCTCTATGAAATGTATTTGCCTAAACCCTGCCCTTAGCTATCTGACCTTTTGATTTCCACCACGCAGCTAGGGGGGGTGGGTGGGTGTGTGTGTGTGTGTGTGTGTGTGTGTGTGTGTGTGTGTGTGTGTGTGTGTGTGTGTGTGTGTGTGTGTGTGTGTGTGTGTGTGTGTGTGTGTGTGTGTGTGTGTGTGTGTGTGTGTGTGTGTGTGTGTGTGTGTGTGTGTGTGTGTGTGTGTGTGTGTGTGTGTGTGTGTGTGTGTGTGTGTGTGTGTGTGTGTGTGTGTGTGTGTGTGTGTGTGTGTGTGTGTGTGTGTGTGTGTGTGTGTGTGTGTGTGTGTGTGTGTGTGTGTGTGTGTGTGTGTGTGTGTGTGTGTGTGTGTGTGTGTGTGTGTGTGTGTGTGTGTGTGTGTGTGTGTGTGTGTGTGTGTGTGTGTGTGTGTGTGTGTGTGTGTGTGTGTGTGTAATGGGCGAGTGTATAATGGGCGAGTGTTTGACAGAGAGAGAGAGCGCGTGGTGGAAAAGGCCGCCCTGGGTGTCACAGAGGGCTTGGCAACACTCCACACGCCGCAATGGATGCCCATAGGGGCTGTGAACAAAGGGTGATGGAGAAATATGGTGTGTGTGTGCCTCACTAAAAAAACATTTTTGAATGTTAAATAAAAAGTTTTGAATAAAGATTTTATGACCAATATGATGTGTCTATTTCAGGCGACCCTATCCCTCTTTGTTTTAGATGTTAAAAACATGTGCTTACATGTCCCAGGACTAAACAAACATGAAATGTAATGACAGTATGAAGTACATTTCAGAATGTTTTCCCTGTAGACCATCTTACTTGTTAGACAATACAGTAGTAATTCATTTTAAAACAAAAAACAATGCTTTTCAGGATGTTAGACATGTTTGTGTGCATGTGTGTGGTCTATACAATACATCTGCCCTCTTGTCCTCCACAGCTTGCCTGTCTGACCCTGCAGCTGTCCAGCTATGCTCATAGTCTATTCACACACACACACACACACACACACACACACACACACACACACACACACACACACACACACACACACACACACACACAGAGTAACTTTACATTATAGATGAGGTCTTGTGCATATTGAATCTCACTGGTTGAGTGAGTAAAGAGCTTATGACGACACTTTTGTTTTAGGGTTGAAGGAGTTTTTGTTCCCTGTGACTGTCGGGGGTTAAAACCAGTAACAATGTGTTTCTGTAACTGATGTTTTTGTCTTGGTGTGTGTTTTCCTGATCAGGTCAAAGTGGCCTGGGAAAGTCCACTCTGATGAACACACTGTTCAAATCCAAGGTGAGCCGCAAATCAGTGCAGCCCAACCCGGAGGAGCGGATCCCCAAGACCATCGAGATCAAGTCCATCAGTCACGGTATGCCAATTTTCATTTTTAGAAGCCTATAGCTAAAATAATTACATAACGTTTTAGAGTTTTCTGCTGCTCTATCATACTACCGATCTGTTTCTTTCTCTGTTTGCCTTTCCAAAATAAATATGAATTCAATACTATTTTCTTTGTCTAGATATTGAGGAGAAAGGAGTGAGGATGAAGCTGACAGTAATCGACACTCCAGGCTTTGGGGATCACATCAACAATGAGAACTGGTAAGCTCAGGTTACTTTATCTGAAGGCCTCAGTAGCTGTTAGTAAAGTAATTTCCGACATTGCTCTTATGCAAATCAAAGCCACGGTTCTGTTTCCTCAAAATAATGTATCTGGGTATCACGATAATTCTTAATTCACTGCTGTATATGTATTAACTGTAAGCAGCAGGTTTCTACCATTGGCTGGTACAAAACTTGCTAACTGTTTCCTTTTCCTTTTCCAGCTGGCAGCCTATTATGAAGTTCATCAATGACCAGTATGAAACCTACCTGCAGGAAGAGATCAACATCAACAGGAAGAAGAGGATCCCAGACTCCAGGGTGCACTGCTGCATATACTTCATACCTCCCACGGGTCACTGGTGAGATCACATATTAAAGACACTTTCACTCTGTGACTAAATGCCCCAACTTTTTGCTCTGCATCCCACAAGTTTCTCCCACAGCTGCAGATACTAATCAGGCCTTCTGGGAATTCCCCCCCCCCCCCGAACCCATTGTCTGTCCACAACTCTTTAACCACATCCTTCTGCAGCTTTTTTTATCATCTCTCTCTTTCGTGACAACATATGGAACTCATTCTCTCCGCAGAGACACCGAATATCACTTGAAGAGTCGGATTTCACCGTGAAACTGGACTCTACAGATCTCATAGTTAAGAGAGCTAGAGAGACAGGGAAACAATTACCAGGATGCAGAGAAGGGAATCTCTAGAGAAGGATACATTGTAGTGGTTCGAAGCATATGACCTTTTCACTGAGCATGTTAATTGTAGGCTTGTTGATGGATGCATTTACCAATATCATTATTTTAATTGGATGGCCTTAACATGTCTGCTTTTTTTCTATTTGCCAACCTCCTTAACCAATACATTACTGCGCCTGAAAGTATCACTTACATTCTAAAAAGGCTGCATCAGAGATCTGGGTTCTATTGATGATCACATGTCATCATTATTTGTGAAAATGTTGTTAAACAGACAGATGGGAACCAAGTGGTTTACAGATCACAAATAAAAAATGGTCTAAAGCTTACAATGTCTTGCCGGTGCACACGTGGCCTTAAAAGAACCAGCTGGCAGCTGATTGCTTTACCTACATGGGGTTTGTGTTGACACACTTAACCACATTTCCTCTGCTGCTTTGTCAATGATTAGGGTCTTTTTTTTTTCAAGGCGACTCTGTAATTAGTTTGATTTAAAGTGACGATTTGTCTGTTCTTGTGTGTTCTTAGGACACAGAGCAGGACTCAATGCACACACATATCATTTATAAATGAATCTTGAAAGGAGTATTGTATTGTAAACAGGCAGATAAAAGCCCACTAAACACCCATGCACACCAACTGTAAACACACTCGTTCACTAACCATCTGAGCACATATCTCTGTGAAGGCCCCATCCTCTGGTAACTCAACAGTTGTCCACTTAACGTTTTCTATGAGAGGGGGATGACATGTGTGTGTCTGTGTGTCCCGTTGTTTGACAGACCCCCTCATCATCTGCTCTAGTCGCCACAGCTGCAGCTTCGGAGAATGTGTGTTTTTGTGTGTATCTCTGTTCATGTAAAGCAGTGCATGCAGTGGACTCAAGTGGGCAGTAGGCATGCTAACACTTGTATAACTACACATGTTTGGATGACCTGGAGGTGTGTTTGTGCAATACACAACCTACAGCTGCTCAGTTCAGCCAGTTCAACAAAACACTTACCTCCCAATTTTTCATTATGACCCTGTCTCGGATTCTATATCATCTGTTGTTTTTAAGCGAAATTCAAAAGCGGTACTTCCCATACAAACTTAACATCAAAAACATGCACACTTTACTGTAATGGTCATGACTTTGTGAAAAAAAAGATGGAAACATCTGTCAGGAAGTGGTGTCTTCCTCACAGCCAACCAGAGAGTTTTAGGCGGTGAACAAATGAGACATCTGTTGGGGCTACTGTTGAGACCTGACATAGAGATGAATGTATGTATGTGCATGGAAGCATAGACACAAGAGTATGTTATATGAGAATGAATGAATACATACGAAAACATGAACACATACATGCAGCACATATTTTCTAGGCACAATACTGTATAATGTATCTGAACCCTATACACAATAATAGTTGTATGTGTGATGTACAAGTTCTGTTGTCTACTCACAGATTCTGTTATCCTACTTTTGCTTATTTTCCCTTTTTCATTGCACACAGTAACAGTTGAAGTTTTAAATTAGGGTCTGTAACCAATTACACAGACACAACGCCACAAGCCTCTGGACGCCTCTGCCATTTGACCGTAGTCCAAGAATGACAGTCAGGAAAATCATGGCAGAAATTCCCTGGTAGCTCTCATAAGACTCTTTGGAGATATGCCTATTTGTACTATTGTATTTTTGCCTGAGGCGTTTTAAACAGCAGTTTGTTTTGATTTGAGCTCTAATTTAACTCTTCGTGTCAGCAAATGGCTTTTAAGCTGCTTCTGTGGTTTCAGGCAGATGAACGGTGCTCAATGAAGCTGACACTCGTGGCATTGGAAGCCATTTCTGATAATGGCAGTCAGCCACGCTGTTCCCCCTCTGGGCAACATGTTTTCCTGAGAAAAAGAAGGCTGCATTTTAACTCATTAACTCAGAGCTGGTTCCTGATCTGTTACTGTATATAAAAGAAGGAAGGAAGGAAGGTGCAGCTCTGTGCTGTGGTTAGCTCTTATCTCCGTTTCTCATTTACAAGCTGAGCTTATCGTTTTCAATTGATATGAATATGACTGCTATTTTGTCTTTCAACAATACAAAAAGGAGGGTTTTTCCATGCAAGCTGGCATTTAGGGGACATCTGTGCATGCATACATTCTTGCACATATTAGCCATATGTTCATGTAAAAAGATGTGTACACATGAAGTGTGCAGGTATTCTCAGTCATGCATATGAGGCTGCTGACATGCCAATTTGCAGTTTCCTGTATCCGTACAGTGACAGTTTAATAACTGCGCTTAAACATTTATATTCAATATTCACACGATACATAATCATCTACTTCACTTTTTAACTTTCTTGCTATACAACCTCTGCTTGCATATGATACATGCCAGTAGTCTGCTCTGCAGGATACATGCAAAACACCGTGGTGAAGTCTGGTTGAATGCATCGCTTACTGTGTCATCTCTCTTTACCTTGGTGCAGCTCTGTATTCCCCCTTTCCTCTGTCTCGCTCCATGTCACACATGCTTCCCAGTGTTTCCTCCATGTTCATGGGGACATGCCTGTCAGTCACCGTGGAGAGCAGGCCAGGGCTTCTCCTCCAGCTGCCCCCGGGCCTTTGAACCAGGCTGGCCTGGCTTGGCTGGGGCTAATTGGAGGGCAGAGCACACAGCATGAGGGGAATCTGTCTTGAAGAGCAACTGGGGTTAATGTTGAGCCAGTAGAAAACAGTGAAGGCACAGAGAAATGGAAAACAAGCAGGAACAGAACAGCAGTCCAGAACCTTTCATAAATTGTCACAAACAATTCTCAAGTTTGCTTTGAGTTAAGCAAAAAAGGAGAATATTAAAAACAAATGGCCGACGGCAAACAAAGAGCGGCATTAGACTGAATGACTGTATTCTGCTTTATCCTTCAAAATCTCATCTAGGAGAAGGCGACGGGAGAATTGGTTAAGTATACAGTTGGACGGCAATGGCAGCATATGTTAATGCAGTACAAGTGTCAACATGAGATATTTAGTCGGACTTAATGTAATGTAACAGACCATGAATGCCCTCTGGTGGTTACTTGGTTTCAATACACACATTTTTGTGTACACAAAATTGTTTTTTTTGGCGATCATTTTAGAAAAGAATGTTGTGAGATGCTTCCCCTGCACATACAGATAATTTGAAGATGATGGAAGAATATTAAAAGCAGTATTGCATTGCACACATGCAGATAAAAGCAAAGTTGGTTGATTCCATACCCATGTGCATCTCGAAAAACTCATACCGTAGCATGAGCATGTTATCCCTTTCTTGCTACATTCTGGGACAACAAACAAACACGGTTACAGACCTTTATGCACAACATTTATTTGTACTGTCTTCTCCATCTTCCTTAGTCTGCGGCCTTTGGATGTTGAGTTCATGAGGCGTCTCAGCAAGGTGGTCAACATCGTCCCCGTCATCGCCAAGGCCGACACACTCACCCTGGAGGAGAGGGACTTCTTTAAACAAACGGTGAGAGCAGTCTGTGTGTTCAGACCACAGAGGGGCAGGTTTTATGATATTTATATATTTTGTATGTGATTTCACGTGACATCTCATCCTCCCATCACACCTGCAATAACCCGTAACAGGTATTTAGGGAGGAGTAGGTTGGTTGATTCCCCTCACAAACATATGTGTATGCTTATCCACGACCACAGGTTGGTAACACATGAAGAGCTGCCAGGCACCACCAACAAAAGCCATCTGGCTAGATATTGTACTTATCCTGGGAAATACCGTATCATCTCTATAAAAGTAATGCTCAGTACAGAAGGAAACATTTAAGAACTCTTTATTTGAAGCATTTATTTACTGAGCGGCGTTCCACAACTCTTAAGTCTGGCTCTTTTTTAGATGGGAAACCTCTGCCCAGTTGCCAGCGGAGCAAGCAGGCCCTTCATTACCCATAAATAACTGGGTGCAAGTACAAGTCAGCAAGTTCAGAGAGCTTTCCACTGTGTGGTACATGAACAAACATGACCTTTCTTCTTGGCCAGAACTGTAAAAAGTAGCAATATGGCAGCTAATGAATATTCATCAGTTTTTACATGTACTGTAAGTTAAGTTTTATCCCTATTGATACAGCTCTTTATAGTTTGTACAGCTTTAAGAGCTTCTAATTTACGTTAGCCTTGCTAGCAGACGTTCAGTCCATCCCTTTAGGTCCAGACTAAAGTATCTCAAACCTACTGCTGACAAGCATATTCTGGACAGACATGGCTAACAGGCAATGTCTCCTATGAGTTTAATGATCACTTATCTTTTTCACTAGCACCGTCATCTGGTTTTTTAAATGTCTTGACAGCTTTGGGATGGATTGTACAGAAAGTCATGGCAGCCAGAGAATGAAACCTGAGGACTCCATTGACTCTTTATGACTGGTTGATTGCAAACGTCAGACATTCCCTTCAGTCTCTTCAGGCAGTATTTGATGATTAGTGCTAATTAGCATATGTAACCATGCTAACACACGTTACACCTGCTAAACTGTTTACAATCTTATTGAAAGTACAGCCTAACAGCTGCTTGCAGGCCTGCTTACTCCTTGTTTTTCGTCCTTACGAGATGTATTCTTGACTGTACAATTTCAAATTGCACAAACAATTAACACAACTACATGGTCTAAACATTTACATCCATACAGAGTTAGCATTGGAAAGCAGATTTTAAGCAGTTGTCAAGTAATATTTTGTTCCTCAAGGGTTATTTAGATTTGTTCTCTGTATGATACAGTAGCCCCAAACTAACTCACAATCAAATGTTCAGGGGCCTCATTTATAAAGCGATATACACTCAAAAAAATGGCGTACGCCAGTTTCTACGCAATGTTTGCGATTTATAAAATACTAACTTGATGGGAAAACGTGCGGTCCTCCACGCAAACTCTAACCCATGCGTACGCACTAAGCACAACAACGGGAGAGACGAGAAACTGCGACACCGTTGGCAGAAGGAAGAATGGAGAGAAATATGTGGAAATAATACCATAAATAAAATGTTACCTCTCATTTATCATATATGAAGAATTCATTTTCACAAATTGATTAAAGCCAATCTTAAAATGATTAAACAAACGCCTGTTTGCGACTCCTCAGTGCACACAAAAACATAACTTGGAGAAATAAATAAATACGGATATGTTATTTAAAACCATCTCGAATATGTTGTGTTAATGTTATGAAATGTTTTCTCATAAATGATGCGGTAAACAGAAGGACACAAATTACTTTAAACTGACGCCGTTTTGCATTTCTATAGGTTGTAGATACGAGTATGGTTTTATATACTATCACGTTTAATCGTGTTTTATGCCGTTTGCCAAAACTTGATAAGTCGCTCGTAAAACACAGAAGGTATGGAAGCTAAGATCACCATATGGGGTAAATTGTACAGCTGATATAACACAACACATTAGTTGTATTTCCTTTAACTGGTGGATATAGGGTTGCTGCGGGGGGGATGCACAGGCTGCAGTGGAGACGCTGCGCACAGCTGATCGACAGCTGGGACACAAACCACCAAATACGAAAACATAATTCAGATCCAGTCGTCATGACTCCACTCCGGAGGGATTCCCCGATCACTTCTTACAGTCTCTCATCAAGGGGGGGTCTCCTGTCCCCGGTACAAACACACTGCCTGAGGAAGGCTATGTGTATTGTTTTTGTCATTAACCTTTTTCGGGCCATTTATTTATTTATTTTGGTGACGATCCGACCTCCATGCTGATACTCTGGTTCAAACTGCATCCACCAAACAATATGATTTATCTCCACCTCCCCAAAATAACCCACATCTGACACGGTGTGAGATGTCTTTTTTAGCTGTTCTGTCGTCATTTCCTGCGATCTTCTTCATGCAGTCAGTCAAAATGAATGAATGGGCGTTTCTTTGACTATTTATAGGCAAATATGGGCGTTACGTGAAGCCCGCAAAAGCTGCACCGTATTTCGAGTCGGTTGTGATTTATAAAGGGAAACCGGTGTAGGAAGTGCCATACGCACTTTCCTTGCCGGTACGCAATGTTTGGTGAATCGGGAAGTGGCGGAAAATTTATGGACCTATTTTTCGGATTTCTACTACGTAAGCAACCTTCCCACGTGAATCCTACGCACGGCGTTATACATGAGGCCCCTGGGCTGATAATCCTCCACTGTAACCTCATCATGGCTTTACCTGCAACAACAGATTCCCGCTCCACCTGGCTTGAGTCTTAAACGTTTCTCCACTGTATCCCTTCCCCAGTATGTTTCTATTGGATAATTCTCAATCGGCAGGAGGCAGACGGCCACCTGCCTTTCTCCATCATTTCCTTTATCTATCATCCCTGTGTCCAAGACTACAGACTTAACTTAAAAGCTTTATTCATTTTAGAGAAGCACCAACGTGTCTTGGCTACCGTTTTCCCCATGATTCCTGTAACACCGTCCAATAAGTACAAAGCAGGGATTGGACCAGGCCCTGGCAGAGGATGGGAGCTGCAGGGCCAGTGGCTGGATTGTTTTGGTTGGCCGCACATGCTTTGTTTGACCCTGAAGATTATTGACTAAAAGCCTCTCGTGCCAAATGTTTTTTCACTTTCCCTGCAGCAACTTGCAAATGCTAAAAGCAACGGGGGTTTTTCTATTAAATGTTCAGCCTCCATGTGTCCAGCTGTAAGTGTCTTTTTGCATTTCTCCAGCCGACAGTTGATGTGGCTTTTCGTAGATGTTGTCTTGGTTTGCATCCTATAATGTAAGCCTGAGAAAGCTGCCAAGGATAAACAATGACATGTTGGATCAAAGACCAAGTGGAAATCGTCAGGGTAGTAATTGTGGGAATGAACAGTCATTCATTAAAAGGACATTTCTCCCAGAAGCTAGTCCGTCTGTTTTTCCTGTGCCAGTGCCTGAATCATTATAAAGACACATAAAGTATAGGGGGAACCATTGTGTCATACGTCTGGATGTATTTGTTTTTACCTTCGAGTGGTTAACCTCCATGGTAACCCCTGGGTGTCAAGGATATTAGGAACCATTTAATGTCAACACCAGCAAGTATAACAGACCCAAGTGTTTATTTAGGTCCTCTTGTGGGTCAGAGCAGCTTCCATGTAACCCTCTGACCGAGACTTAAATACCTGTATGTAGACATCATTCAATCCAAACATCATGTAGCGTTTGCATGTTATGGTGACTGATTGAGTCCAATGGACTGCATGATGGATGAAGCGTCTGGGCTTGATTTATCGCTTTTGTCTTCCAATAAGACTTTCTTTTTCACAGTATCTGTTTCAGCTATGACTACTGACCTTTATGTAATGATGTGTAAAGATGTTGCCATTGGGTTACATTTCTTTTTAAATGTGATTACCTAGAATTTTGAGTGGGGAAAAACTATTATTCAACAAAATGAGTTGGACAATGATATACTATATAAGATCATTTTGGTTGCTGTTACTATGTGTGTTAAGGTCATTTAATTAAATGTCTCTGTGTCATTGTGCTTTGCTCTGTGCAGATTAGGGAAGAGCTGCGGGCCAATGGCATCGATGTTTACCCTCAGAAAGAGTTTGACGAGGATGCGGACGACAGGATGATCAATGACAAAATCAGGGTAAGTTCAGTTCACAAGAAGGTATCCTCCTGTAGCTCAAGCTCCTTAAATAGCAATCAAACATGTGAACTCAGATTTAAACTCAAGCCTTTGTCAAATGTTATACGTTATTCTTTTTGTTTCCAGAAAGTCACGATTGTCACAAAAAAAACGACCCAATTACAGCATGTTGTTCTAGCAAAGTGGAACAACAAAAAGCATGACCTGAAAACAAATCGGTGGTAGAGCTTCATTGACCGTGTGTGTGTGTGTGTGTGTGTGTGTGTGTGTGTGTGCGTGTGTGTGTGTGTGTGTGTGTGTGTGTGTGTGTGTGTGTGTGTGTGGTGTGTGTGTGTGTGTGTGTGTGTGTGTGTGTGTGTGTGTGTGTGTGTGTGTGTGTGTGTGTGTGTGTGTGTGTGTGTGTGTGTGTGTGTGTGTGTGTGTGTGTGTGTGTGTGTGTGTGTGTGTGTGTGTGTGTGTGTGTGTGTGTGTGTGTGTGTGTGTGTGTGTGTGTGTGTGTGTGTGTGTGTGTGTGTGTGTGTGTGTGTGTGTGTGTGTGTGTGTGTGTGTGTGTGTGTGTGTGCGCTCAACAGGAGATGATCCCTTTTGCTGTCGTGGGCAGTGACCAGGAGTACCAGGTGAACGGAAAAAGGATTCTGGGAAGGAAAACAAAATGGGGCACCATAGAAGGTAATACACATGAACCCTAAGATACACACATAATAATTGCACAGCTGGTTGTTTTTCCTGCCATTACAGATTGGTATTATAATAATGTGTTCATTTTAATCTGAATGATGCAATTACAACACTAAAGTATGTCATTTACCATACTCACACGTGAGTCACATCACATCTATTCATTTGACAGTGCCAAGGCCATCTAGCTTGATCACTGATGGATAATATAATCGCATGCTTGCCACCAGGCCCCATTCATGTCATTCACACGATAGCATCATCAACACGGTGAACAGCTTTGCACAAAAGACAACAGATTCTAATTGTTGGTGTTATTTAAGCACGTTGAAATGTACAAACTGCAGCTTTAAAATCTTTCCAGCTGGTTGAACCATCTGTTGTTTGACTACCAGTGCGTTTGTTTGCATACGTCTCTGTGAGTCTGTAACTAGGGACATGTATGAGACAGGAGGAAGAGATTTACAAGGACTTTCTGTGTCCTTTGGGATGAAACGGACACACTGCCTCACACACACTTGCGCACAGCAAATGTGATACAGTTTAAATGTGTTGGCCTGCGATGCATGCTCAAGGAGGTTCATAGCAAGCAATGTCCTCATTTCACCCTTGGGTGTGTGTAAACACATGTGTGTGTGTATGCGAGACAGAAAGGGAGAGAGGGGACATCTGTCTGGATCGGGAGTGAAAATGTAATTTGAGGTTCTAGAAGACAGCTGAAGGAGGTCGGGACAAGGGACTGACACTGTTAAACAAACACTGTCTCCTGGATGCAATTCAGCACACATAATTAATACTGAACTTTAGTTTAATTAGATATGATATACATGCATCATAAAACATAAATATCTCACTTAAAAATAAACACGTAAAGGTAGTTCAGTGCAATTTTGAGACACCTGAACAAGCAGCAGTGACCTGCCACCTGCAATGGCCACGTTTTAGTCTATTTGTGAGTTGTACACTTTGCATGAATGCAATAATAGAAACAATCTCATAATGCAGAGATCATCTATCAGTCACAGGGTCTACAAGAAGTCGTTTTTCTTTTGAATGTTAAGTATATTTGCTGTCAATAATTATGTACTTTCAGTTGCAATGCAGTATTTTTTGACATTGTTGTTTTACTTATACTAAGTAAAGGTGTTACTTTTCCAAATATTGTTGAAAATGTATTGAAACAGCGAAGTGGATCACAATGTAGACAAGTGATGTTGAAGAGGTCTATTCGGGATTGCTGTTGCAACTCTATATGGCTTAATTTGCATACGTTTAAGCTAAAACCAGGCAGTTGTACCCCCTGAGAAGATGACATTTACGAGGAAGTACCATGAACCCTTTTAGTTTTAAGAACTTAAAGGTGACTACTACTCTCTCAGCAGACTTTATGAAATTAACTCAACATGGGAGAGAGAGGTAAAGTACTGGCACTGTGGGACAAATGTCGCCTTGTCCGGCTAAAAGAACAATGGCTGCACTTTAGTAAAGCCAGGCGAGGGAGAGAGGGAACAAGTAAAAGGTTGAGAGAGGAAGCTGCTGCGCTGCTGGACTTGTCGACTCCGGCCTCATAATGTAGGCCTCAAAGGAGAAGCCTCTTTATCACAAGTGGAGAAGAAAGTGTTTATTTTCCAGGGTTTGGGGGACATTTAGAGATGGAAGGAAGAAACTAAGGAGAGTAATTCATGCATTAAATGTATTTAGTGAACTGAATAAAGGGGAAATAGAGTGGTGATACCAGAAGTGCAGCTTGTTACAAGTTAGTACCGCCTTCCCTCAACGCCACTAATAAGCCCTCCCAGACCCAGCAGTAACTCCACTCTCCTCCTTTCAAAGAGAATTTAATTTCCTGCCCATGGATTTCAAAGCTTTACATAAATAGCACCCTCCTTTTTTCATTTACACCCTTGACATAATCTATAATTCAAACATGTGTTAGCCCTACTGGAGGCACTAGCAGCTTGTCACGGGAGTTTGTTAGAATGTCTCACTTAAAGTTCTCCAATATGAGGGGAGGCGAGATGTATTCACTTACTCTAAAATGGAGGAGTGTGTTATCTTGGCTTAAGAAAATTGCTGCCGATGTCATGTTAGAGAATGCCCTTCAGCTGAATTGTGAGCACCACTGCCATATGGTGGTGCTTTGAGGAATGGCAAGTTATCTGGAATAGAAGGTATAATAATTATCTCATTTCATATGTTGGGCATATCTTCCCCTCTGCATGTAAAGCCCTAAACGATCTGCTGAGAGTCAAGTCAAGATTATTTTGTAAATTGTTCTCAAATGATGTAATTCCACTAATGTTTCATATTTTCTCTCTACAGTTGAGAATATTGGACACTGTGAGTTTGCTTACCTGCGAGACCTCCTCATCAGGTGAGCTTCCATAGAGTTTTTGGATTTTTACGATGTACAAGAACTGATACAAAATGCTTTTTATTGACCGAGCCTCCTGCTAAATCAGAAGGAACTCATTTTATTTGTCGTAATGAATTGGAAACAGCACTGAGACGCTATGAAGCTCCACTTCCCTACTGAAATCAATACTAATGAAATTCTTTCAGATGGGTTGAGTGCTTCCCTAGACAGTGTTATAACGGCCATTTTTACAAAGCTGCTCCATTAAATGTAAAGCATTTGAGATGCTTTTAGTACAGTTTTATCTTATCTATACCTCATCAGGCTAAAACAATGGTTCCAAAGCTTTTTAGACATGGACCATATATTGACGTTATCTATAAATTGAAATCAATGTCACATTAAATAATTAAGGCCTTTCTCAGACTCAGAAAAAGATCTCATGTTATGTTGATATGGTTACCTTAAACATTTAAATGAATAATAAGAAGCATGCTAAATCGTGAAATGTCTTTGTTGATTTTAAAAGGTAAATTAAAAAGAAACAACCTTTGGCCAGTAAGCCCAGTGTATTTCAAATGTACCACAATAAAATGAAAGAAAATTATTGCATTATCTTTATCCCGTGAAACCACTGGGCCAAAACATAATGAGGAAACCAATAAAACACGTATTACGCTTGTATACATTTGCTATACTTTGGACAATACTCACTGGTGTTGTTATATATGGTCTTCTGTCTTTCAGGACACACATGCAGAACATCAAGGACATCACAGGCAGCATCCACTATGAGACGTATCGTGTCCGCCGGTTAAATGAATCCAACGCTCATTTCAAATCACAACCATCTGACCAGCCTGCTGTTCAGCCAAAGGCCAACGGTCAGCCCGAGGTGAAGCCCAGCGCTCCGCAGGCCAACGGAGTGGCTGCTAAGCACGAAGTCATGTCCCACGAGATGTAGAGTCAATATATGAGATCAGGACAGAGCCAGGCACAAAACATACACTCGCACATTTATTCTGTTTACATGAACAAGCCCACATGCACGCAAGCACATACTCAAGCTGTGAAGCTCATTTGTGTTTTCTAGAAGGACCCTTTTGCCCAAAACTAACCACAGGAAGTTCCAAGACACATGAGTCAGAATAAATCCTAACAGTTATCTTTTGTGGGCCGTTTCCTCATTTTTTTTCCATCATAATAATTCTGAGCAGATTCATGTCTTCCCTGCAACATGACATACTGTACAGAACCTGTTTTTATCGGCATTTTATCTACCTGTCTGCACAATAGAATCTAGATTCAAGATGTTCACAATAAGCCATTAAAGATTTCAGGTAATGGATAAACCAAAATGTATCTAGATTACCCTGACTGTGCAGTGAAGTGCATAAACCAGGAAAGTAAATAATTGAAAAAACAATGTACAAGATTGACAAAATTCACAGTATAATGGAAAAAGAGTGCCCCAAAACTGTTTTGTACAGAATGTACCTTTGCAGGATCTTGGGTTGCGGGGTTTAGTCATGAATTGATGTTCAGATGAGATTAAATAGTTAAAGATGAAATACATGATTTGAAATGATACCACATTATCGTTAAAACTAGTACTAACTGTTGTGCCACTGGCCTGGTCCGCTTTGTGTTGTGTTGTTTTGTAGCGATAATAGGGTTAAGTAGGGAGATTTAGATTAGGTTAAGAGTACCATGGAGAAAGTTAAGATATTGTTGACACCTCCGCACTGCAGAATAATACTTTTTTAAGAAAGCCGTGGCAGTGTGGGCAGCTTTCACAAAACCTTTTCCCAATGTCATTTTTCCGTTGTGTTATGATGTTTTTAAAACCCCTTTTTGCCAAACCATCCTGTCTCTTTCTATATAATGCCAATGTTGTGTAATAATAATCTGGCATTTTACATTTCTCATTTACTATTGTATTTGTATTGCTGTTTTTCATGTTCTAATATTATTGTATACAATGGGAGGTGTGGAGGAATCTGTGCAACTGTTGTCCCATGCAGCCATTTTGTCCATTATTTTCCTGACCAAATAAACGTTTTTTGTTCTAAAGAGAAGCACATACAGTATATAAAGTTGATTTATGAATAGGTATTTATGTGTATGTTAAGTGTAATCAGTTCAATTCAACTTTCAACAATGTTGGTATCCAGAGGTTTTTGCAGGTCTTTATACATGATGTGATCTTTTAGCTTTACATAGTGTTTGTGGTTAGTAGCCTGCATTTATACAGTATGTTGTACCATGTTGGCTAGGCTGCACTATAACTAGCGCTGAAGTACAAAAGTTGTTTGTTTGAACATTGATAATCAAAACCAGTTCTACCAATAAAAAACCTTTTGTCAGAGAGACACACAAAAAACCTTAAAAGACACCCAGAAATTAGTTATATTTTTGAAAAACGTTTGCATTAATACAAACTCAAGGGATATATAATCGAGACATCTTATTTTCCTTACAAAAAAAGCGTGTTTTATGATCAATTTACTACCCGAAAATATTCATACATACAATAAGAAGAGAAAACACTTTGAAAACCAATACTTATTGTCTTCAACGAAAGTTAATGTTACACGTTGTTTACTGTTGTATAGTTTTTCTGTTATTTGTTACGTTATAATAGACTAAGGTTTTATCTTTGATATGCTATCTCAAATAATAAAGATTGATATTTTTATTGTTGAAATTGATTGTCTTGATTGTCAAAACATATTTCAGTGAAGGAGAGCTCTATGGTGACTATTAATGCGAGTGTTTGATTAGTGCAGAATACTGTATATTGTTTTCACATATTTTAGATGTCACCTTAGATTTAATTGATGGGGCAACATGTTTTTTTTTTTATCAATAGTTGAATAATTCAAACTAATGTGTACACAAAAGTTGACAGAGGGATCATCATCTAATTGAGAAATAAGCCATTTAAGGTATCACTTACATTTAGAACATCCAATACAGTCTATAATGAATATCTCCTACCTATTCTGTATTGAAATACCTACATAATTATTGCTTTTCATTTTCATACAACAACAATATGATGGCATTGTGTGAAAATAGTCAGGGGAAAAGGTTGGACATGCATGGAATGCCAAACATTGTCATAACATGAAATCTGTTATTATTGCCTGAGAAATACATGGAGGAAAATGCCACATTCCAGATACTCTCATGTAGGCTATTAAATTACAAGACTTTTTCCAACTGTGTCAAAAATATGCTTATCTGTAAACGTATTTGATGAAATTATTTAATATAATGAGACCTGCTTATTTACTGAGAAGAGTGGCTCACTTTTCCTGAGCGCAATTCATTATAGTTTGCCTTAATACAAAAAATAAAATGTCCACATTCTACACAATATTATCTTAACTGAGAGGAAATGGGAATTTGGAGCTTCATAGTGGGGTTCACACCACACTCTCACAGCACTGGTTTAATAGGGATTCTCATTTACGCCTCCTGTCACACTATTTCTCAACTACCCTGCTGATTGTAATGTGTTAACAGTGTTGTTTGTGGGAGGTCATTGTCACCCTTTCACACATTGGAGCTCCTGCTGTGACTTTTCTTACCATCTCTGTGTTGAGTTCATTGGTTTGAAACTCTGCTGTGCCGAGCCTGACAATGACTCAGCCAGGGGGACAATGACAAACGTGAAGGTGAGAGACAATGGAAGTTCTATACAAATCTGTATATATTGAACACTCACCTAATGTTGTCACTTCTATCTAAACTGTTTCCTAGGCAGACATCCTGAAGTTTGAAGGTGAGTGATAATGACAACTGTGACAGTTCTATGACAGCTCCACTGGCTGGCACAGTATAAACCCATTTGGTGGTGCATATGAACTGACATCTGTTCCCTCTCACTGTTACAGCATAGTTTCACCTAATATGGTGACTTTTCCCAATGAAAATGTATTTATTGTATTGTATTGTATTTATGTATTAGTGCAAATGTAGTGCATTTGCATTTTGCGGTCAAATGTGCTTCAAAGATTTAAACCATAACTAATCACAGTAGGCTATAAAAGCTCTTAATAAATATGAGTCGAACCAAGATTTTCCCATCTCCAGCCAAAGCCACACAGCTTTAGTTTTTACACGTCATCATGACAACAGGACCGATTTGTTTCGAAATCAGATTGATTGCCTCATGGCACAGAGCGAGACTGTCTGAGCCAAACTGAGCCTTCAGGGCTTCTATTGAAGTTGCAGATTTTGGAAAACTCATAGCCTAACTGTGGGAAAATAATAACTTGTAACCTGTTCAAAAAGACAAATATAAATCTTTTGAACAAAATATGCTAAGATTGTATTTGACTTAGGCTATACCAATGTGGTCTAAATTTGGACAGGTGCAGATAATATTATTTGTGTTGCTTTAAAGTTTAAATACAATGAACCTGCCTATGCTCTCATTTGGTATTTGAATGTGAAAGACAATTGACAATGACAATTTCCAAGATATTAGGTACACATAACTAAAACGAATGGTGTCTAATACATCATCTTCTCCACAAGCAAACTTTTTTTTTAACTTTTATTTTGAAAAGCTTCTGCAACTGCATCCTTTAAGGACCGGCCCTGGGTGTGTGTGCAGTCGTCAATCGATTATGAATCACGAATCGGCCACATGTGGTTCAAAAAAAGTTATGTGCATATTTGATGCGAAAAAAGGACCTGAGCTCTAAAATGTTGAATCAAGTAAGTTTCTATAAACACACATTCACACATTGGCTTTTCCTGTCATCTGAGCACTGACTGCTGAAGTGTCAGCTCTGCACTTATTACAGCTCTTACAGGGGGGACCGCAATCACTTCGTTTTTTATAATTAGCATAATAAAGCCAGTTTGCTATTCGGAAAACGTTTTAGAAACAAGAGAAATAGACACTTAATGTCTGACATGAAGTTGGGTGTGAATTACCAAACAAGATACCTGAAGGCTAGTTAGCTTATGTTTAGCTGCTAGCTAGCCTCCTGAGTGATATAGGGTAGCCTACCTAGCAATTAGTGGCTAAATAAAGCCTACTATGCAAACTATTATCTTCAGTTTTATGAGATCATCACATTGACAGGATTTCTTGAGGTTTTTCCCAGATGAAAAATACTAAACACATGCGAGCTGTGCTGATTTACCTCTCTTATGCAAATTACCCTGTTTAGGCCAACAATGGCTTCTGTGTGAGTAGAGTACATTTGTGCTGTCACAGTATTCAGTAAGAAGTATTATCAAGTGAGAACCATGGTTTGTTGAATTACAGGACACCCACATGTAGCTCAATAATAGATTCTGCACTCTGCATGAAATCTGTTAGTATATGCTCCAGTCTGTCAATCGTTCATCCATTCATCCCCCCAGCCCACCTGAGAACTGCAGCAACTTATCACATGCATTAGATGGTAGCTCAGATTGACTTATTTTATAGTTGTCTGAAGGTAGCAGTAAAGCTGACTCCAAGAACTTGCAAATAATCAGTTGATTTTGACTCATCAAGGCTTTTATTTTTTACAAATGTAAAGTGTTATGGCACTGGGAGGCTTTGAACATGTTTAACAGAGTTCTCCAGTATTGACAGATGCAACTACATGCAACATGTGAAAAACTAGGACATCTGAGTTAAATAGCTATTCCACAACACCATGGCATGATTTGAAGTTACTGTATATCAGCTCAAGCAAGGTAGAGCTGACAAGCCTTTCAATCTGACAACATGGTGAAATGTGTCATCTCTTTCTCTCATGGTGAGCGCTCTGCCTGCAGGTGGCTGGCTGGGCGTCGGGATCTGTGATGATGTGTCTGCTGGATGACAAAATTGGCAGGGCAGTTGGAGATAGACAAGGTATGAGTGTGTGTTTAAAAAAAAATGTAGTTTGGAAATATTGCACAGGGGTTATAGCTCCTTCAATCGGATGAACAAGATGTCAATGGCTCAGTTGTACCTCTGTACTGATTATTTCTCAGAAAGGAAAGGTCTCCCTCCAACACAGAGCTGCATTAGAAATATTGAAATTCATGCCAAATCTAACAGCAGGTACATTATGTGTCTCAGCTGGCTCATATCGCGTAATATATTATTGCACTTCACCCACCACCATATGTGTGGTGGCGGCACGATACCAGTGTTTTCTAGAAGGATTAACAATGATTCACCTTGCATTTGTAGGAGTAGAGCATATCCACCATTCTGCTTTTTCCACCATTGTGATATAACAGTATCTTGCTCTGTAATGACTTATTATGGTGTATTAGGTATTCAATATATGCTTCAGTAAGCTACTAAATATTTGTGTAATATACATATACTCCCTAATGCAAAAGGAAAGATCAGAGCCAGATCTTAGGAAAGGTAAGAGGAAAAAGAAAAAAACAACAGTGTTTAAAACACAACCTTCCTTGTTCCTTCACTGGCTCTGTCGTTACCAGGCAGAGTTCTTCCAGCCAGACAGCCAATGAGCCACCGGGCCAGCCAGACATCGAGCAAGCCAACCAGATAGACTTCCAGCCAGCCAGTTCACCATCTGCCTGGTAAGCCTATCGTGGAGCGAGCCAACGCCTGTCTGTACTGGTGTGGCACCACTGGCTAGTTTTCTGATTCTCTCAGTCCTAAACACACACGCACACTTTCATTACCCTGTGTTTCCTTCAGAGGTATTTGGATACACAGAACAGAAGAGAACTGTAATATCTGCCTATCCTCAGTCCACGACCGTCGGGACAACCCAAAACAAAAGATTGCTTCCCGTTGCCCAGCTCACACACTCCCTGCCTTTCTGCACAGCTCCTCCAAAATAATCGACACAAGGTAATTTGTTAATTAATCGCCGTTCGTTAATGGCTTTGCATTTATTAAAGCTGTGCATGCTGACGATTGTGTTTTGTCTCATCCTGTTCCCTCTGGGATAATCAGTACCTTGCCAACTTATTTACACAAATTCAAATGTGTGTACGCAGAAATAGATAGAGACCACTACTATTCTCTAATCCTCTGCCCGATTTACCCTTGAGCCAAGCCAGCTAACTCTCCTGGACACGTAGCATGGCACCCCCGTTGTTGTCGATG